CTGTCTGTTAAATGGTCTTTGAAAGGGGTGGTCCCAGTCTGGGATACTGGGAGTGACAATCCAAAAGGCCCCCCTTTACCCCATTGCTTTGAAAGTTCTTGCCTGCAGCGTTTGGGGGAAAAAGGTGGATGCTTCTGGTTTCCTATTGACTTATGAGTATGGAAGGGTTTTTCTTAGGCTGGAAGCAATCGGGTTCTTGGTGCTCTCCCATCCAAGACTGAACCAGGGTTGGCCCTGCTTAGGTAGGATCTGTGGCCTTTAGGCCAAAAATAAAAGCTGTGTTAACCCACAGAATGTTCTGCAATGYTACCAAGTCCATAAATTTGATAATTTGATTGGGGGGGGGGGATCAGCGTGCTTGATATCGTTTCCCTCCTTTCTTTTTCTTCTTTCTTTCTTTCTTTCTTTCTTTCTTTCTTTCTTTCTTTCTTTCTTTCTTTCTGGATTCATTCCCTTTTTAAGAATCAGCGATCTCTTTGCTGGTATCTGTGTATGTCCTTGAGACAATGTCTGCATTTTTTGGTGTTTCTATTTCAGCATGACTCATGAAGGGAAACGGGGAGAAATCTTGGAGGTTTCTGACTCGTTATTGATCTTTTGCTTCTTTCTTSACTAGGGGAACGAGAATCCTATGAAGCTACCTCTTGGGTGCAGTAAGGAAACCAATAATACAGGAYGAAGGAGCAATCTTTTCAAGGTGGTGATCTTGTTCAAMTCTTGACGTCACTTACAYAMAAGAAAGGAKCCAAGAAGAGCCAACTATCTGTATTGCAATTTGGCACCCATGCCACTGCTGACATGAAGGGGAAAGCATTGAAATGCCTTGAGTGCGGAAAGAGTTTCACTGAGAAGCATCAGCTCCAGAAGCATGAAAGGACTCACACTGGYGAGAAACCCTATAAATGCCTGGAGTGCGGAAAGAGTTTCACTCAGAAGCATCAGCTCCAAAAGCATGAAAGGACTCACATTGGGGAGAAACCCTATAAATGCCTTGAGTGTGGAAAGAGTTTCATTGAGAAGCATCAGCTCCAGAAGCATGAAAGGACTCACACTGGGGAGAAACCCTACAAATGCCTGGAGTGCGGAAAGAGTTTCACTCAGAAGCATCTACTGCGCGAACATGAAGGTACTCACACTGGGGAGAAGCCCTATGAATGCCTAGAATGTGGAAAGAGTTTCACTTTTTCTTCAACTCTACATTCTCATAAAAAAACTCACACTGGGGAGAAGCCCTATGAATGCTTGAAGTGTGGAAAGAGGTTCTCTCGAAAGGAACATCAGCAGCGACATGAAATGACTCACACTGGGGAGAAGCTCTATGAATGCCAGGAGTGTGGAAAGGGTTTTCCTCGAAGAGAATCTCTGAAGAGACATGAAATGATTCACACCGGGAAGAAACCCTATAAATGCCTGGAGTGTGGACAGTGCTTCACTCAGAGTTCAAATCTATGTGCACATCAAAGGATTCACACTGGGGAGAAACCATATACATGCCTAGAATGTGGAGAGAGATTCACTCAGAGTGCAAATCTATGTGCACATCAAAGCACACACACTGGGGAGAAACCCTATAATTGCCTGGAGTGCGGAAAGAGCTTCTCTCATAGTTCAGGTCTACGTTTACATCAAAGGATTCACACTGGGGAGAAACCCTATAAGTGCCTGGAGTGTGGACAGAGCTTCTCTCATAGTTCAGGTCTACGTTCACATCAAAGGATTCACACTGGGGAGAAACCCTATAAATGCCTGGAGTGTGGACAGAGCTTCTCTCATAGTTCAGGTCTACGTTCACATCAAAGCATACACACTGGGGAGAAACCCTATAAGTGCCTGGAGTGTGGACAGAGCTTCTCTCATATTTCAGGTCTACGTTCACATCAAAGTACACACACTGGGGAGAAACCCTATAAATGCCTGGAGTGCGGAAAGAGCTTCTCTCATAGTTCAGGTCTACATTCACATCAATGGATTCACACTGGGGAGAAACCCTATAAATGTGTGGAGTGTGGACAGAGCTTCTCTCGTAGTTCAGGTCTACGTTCGCATCAAAGGATTCACACTGGGGAGAAACCCTATAAATGCCTGGAGTGTGGACAGAACTTCACTGAAAGAGAA